CAGGGTTGCTGTAGGAATTAAAGGAGAACATTCAAGAGCAGCAGAATGAGTTCTTCCACATGAAGTGTGAATTCATGGTAATCTCTCAGTGCTTCAGGTTCCTCACCCGTGAAGTGGGGATAATTGTAGTAACTACCACATTAAGGATAGTGAGGATTAAATTAATTAAACATGTCAAGTGCCTAGAACTGTGCTTGATACAGAGTGAGTGCTTCTCTTTAATAAGTGCTTCTCCTGAAATGAAGTGGGTGCTCAGCAAATGAGCTGGCAGACTCGCCATGGACCTTTTCAGCACCATCCTCAGTGCTCTACATACCTGCACGGGGTGTTGTGGGGTCTCACTGAAACCTGGTCTTTGCTGTCATTGACCTGGTGGTCTAACTCAGAAGTCACAGGAAAGCACCTGTCCAGGTAAGGTGGTATATGACTGTTAAATGAATAGCACTGGTCATGAACAGTGTGTGACTTCAGTGTGGGAGGACGATAGAGGTCCTGGCAGAAGAGGTAGGACTCCTGCCCTACTTTGACAGACAGGCAGAGGGAAGGGGAACTGTGTGTGGGCAGGGAGAAGTGTGGGCAGATAGCAATGCACCTGCCGAGATGGGAGAAGCAAGGCTGAAGATGGGCAGGCCATTGGGCTTTATTACATAACAATAGAGAATCACTGAGATAAATCCTAGCAGAAGACTGTTATGATCAAGATGTGTTAGACTGACTTTTGGCTCATACAAAGTGGTTCTCAGCCATGGTGCTGTAACACACCAGTGTGATATAGCCTCTTATGAGGTATAAATGATACCTTAATATACAGCCAACACCAAAGTTGATGATGATGATGATATGTGCGTATATTAAAAAAAATTAGAAAAGACTAATGCACTAAATATGTGTTTCAAAAGCCAACTAAACAAAAACCAACATGATTTTAAAGCTAAACCGATAAAGAGAAATATTAAATGCATCCTTCAACAAGACCAAAGATAAAAACCAAGGCACACAGTATTGCGTAAGAGGCAGAACTGAAATAAAGAAGGCCCCCTAAAAACCAAATGTAGAATTAGATTTCTGCTTCACATCTGCCTAATTGTTTCTAAACTAAAATTTTAACATAAATACTTGGACTCCACTCGAGGTCCTTCCAGACCTGCAGAATGTGTAAATATTGGCTATTTGCCATTTGTCAGGCAAATGCTCCACAAGGTACAAAGAAGGTTGAATTCTTAGCAGGCAAATGAAGATTAACTGAAATTATGCTTTCCCTCCCTGAAAGAAAAGCATATTGCATGAGGTCAGTATAGTCCAGTGTTCAAACAGCAAGGAGGGGGCGTTTCTCCCTTCAAATGGGCCAAAATCCATCGTCCATGGGGTTACCTGTCTTCTTGAAATGAAGCATTTGATCCCCCATCTCCTTTTCTTTCACATGAACAAAGACAGTAAACTGCCCCAATGATGTGACTCAGTGGTTGAGCATCAAATCATGAACCAAGAGGTTGCAGGTTAGGTTCCATTAAGGTGACATGCCCGGGTTGTGGGCTGGATCCCCAGCAGGGGGCAAGCAGGAGGCAGCCAATAGATGCTGATGTTTCTCTCTCATTGATGTTTCTATTTCTCTCTCCCTCTCCCTTCCTCTCTCTAAAAAACCAATAAAAACATTAACAACAACAACAAAAAGACAGGGACCTGGGTGTTGAAGGATTAGAGACTTCAGCACTATCCTCTGTTAGATCCAAGCCGCTAAATGGGACAGACCTTGAGAGTACACAGCAGGTTTCCTTGTCCCAAAAGGACTGCCAAGAACAGGGCTCACCAGACAAATGGATGATCAACAGCTGGTGTCCTAAGTACTCCCCGAAGACAACAGCCAATTAGCCTGGAGACACATGTTACTCTTGACTTATTCCATATAACATAAACAATGACTTCCTTTCTTTTAATAAGTGGTCAGTAATAGCTGGTTCTGCCTTACAAACTTAATCAAAGAAGTAGGACTCTAGGAAATAATGTAACAAAAATAGTCTATCATTACCACTAGGTTCAGAGAGATTCCTGGAAGTGACCAAGGATCCTTAAAACAGACCCTATGCACCAAATGCTTTAAGAGCACTTTTCTTTCCTGGAGGATAGAATCGTTGGTGGCTTTCACTTTCTATGTTCTTTACTTCTTACTATGTTTTAACATTTTCCACAATTATTATGTATTGAGTATGAAATAGGATATTTTTAAAGGTCCTAATAAAGTGTAGTCAGTGGCTCATTGGATGAACTTTAAAGAGCTGTTTACTATTCGTTTCCTGATCTGAAAAGTGTACTTATACAAGCATACCTTGGAGATATTACAGATTCGGTTCCAGACCCCTGCAATAAAGCAGGTTGTAATCTTTTTGCTGGTGAAGGGTCTTGCCTTCAATGTGTAAAAACACCCAAAAACCCCTGCAGTATCTGTGAAGCACAATAAAACAAGCCATATCTGTACTTGAGTTATTCCCAAAACTTTTCCCTAATGGAAGGAAATAGAAAGTTTTCAAAATGTATTCATGTCTTAACAGGCCCAAGATAGGTAGAAAATGGAAGAATAATTACTCCTTGGAAATCCACTCTTTCTAATAGGGAGACTGGGCATGGTGGTATCAAAAGACCAAAAAGGTCTTGTACATGGAAGTGCTCTAAAAACTTAAAAACTGTGGTTATTCAGTAACCTAAAGGAATTGGTACTTCACTCACTTTTACTGCTAGGTCAATATGGCTTAAAACCATGTAGCAAACAGAGCAGTTAGATATAAAGTCAGAATTTTCAGGGTTTGTGTGGCAGTATTCTTGATCTATTTATCCCTTTTGTCATTCAATAAATGTTCTATCCAGAACTTACTATGTGCTTAATGGCAAAACAAGCTAATAATACAGGGACTTAATAGTTACAAAAATGGAGGTTGAGTTGAGCTGATTCCTTGAGGGCTTGCATGGGTTAGTGGTGCAGTTTAAGGTCCTGGATTCACTTTAGTTAAAGGTAAAAGTATGAAATCAGGAGACCTGGGTTCTGGACCAGCCTTTAAGATCTTGGGCAAGGCCATATCTAGGACACGGTTACATCACCTGTAAAACAAAGGGGCTCATACATAATCCCCGAGGGCCCTTTTGACCACAGTGGTCTCCAACAATGGAAAGGATCCCATAAAACTGGTTGATGGCCAATCCTAAATTTGCTAGCGATGTGAGCCTTAGTTTCCTCAAACCCCAAAATGAAGATAATAAAACCTCTGTTTCACTGGATAGTTGTGAGGATTCAATTAGGTGTGTAATCCTATATAATAAAAGGCTAATATATAAATTGACCAAAGGGTGGAACGACCGGTCACTATGACATGCAGTGACCACCAGGGGGCAGACGCTCCACTCAGGAGCTTCCCCCTTGTGGTCAGTGCACTCCCACAGGGAGAGCACTACTCAGTCAGGAGCCCTGAGCCAGGCTGATGGCTGGCAAGTGCAGCGAGCGTGGGGAGCGGGCCTAAGCTGTCAGTCATACATCCCCCGAGGGCTCCCAGACAGAGAGGGCGCAGGCCGGGCTGAGGGGACCCCCCCCCCCAATTGCACGAATTTCATGCATCGAGCCTCTAGTACTATATATTTCTTAACCAAACACTGTTACATAGACACTGAAAAGGTATAACATCCTCTTGACTTCCACAAACCATCACACAAAAATAGAATTTATGAACTTAGCCACAGTCCTCTAAGCTCTAAAAGCAAATGTACAGTCAATGTCTGTTTCCTGATGCTTTATGTTTTAGTGTTTTGCTCACTCATTACTATTTGATCCTTTGAGCACTTTGCTATGTCACAGCCCCAGGATGGGCTGGGAGAAGGCAGGGGCTCTGGCATCTGATTGTGAATAGCACAGAGGACATGTGGGAACAGCAAGGGTATGTATGACACTGCTACCCTCTCTCCTTCTCAGTTGTAACCCTCTACTTTATCATTCTAATTGGGACAGATTCGAGAGTGAAAAACTGTTTCAGTAAAACCAGAATGTATGTCCCCCTGACCTTTCAGGCTTACGTTTTGTGACCTTTGATGTTACTTCAAGGTCCTGGGGCTGGAGCTATGACTGATGTCCTCATGGGAATTGCAAAATAGGATTCTATTAAAATCATTAAAATCCTTCTGTGCTGTTTTAAAGGAGCGCAGAAAGATGATTTAAAGCTTGATAAATGTAATTTTAGATAAGATACTGCGATAAAATAGTTTTGTTTGTATTATTGTAATGTATGTTTTCGAGGGGGGTCAGTAAAGTTTTTCTGTAAGAGGACAGAGTGCATATTTTAGGTTTGGTGGGCCATATGGTCTCTGTCACAACCACACAGTTCTGTCCTTGCAGGGTGAAAGCAGCCATAGACAATACATATAAAAGCATGGGTGTTGCTATGTTCCAATAAAACTTTAGTGGCAACAACTGGCTGTGAGCTGGATCTGACTTCGGGCTGCAGTTGCCAAGCCCTGCTTTAAAGCAACAGTTCCCAGACTTGGAATTCATAGGACCAGGAAAAAAAATGTCTGGAGTTGATTCAAGCTTTCTAACTTTTTATTTTACTAAGTAATTATGTTAAAAAAAAACCCAAAACATCATTGCCTAGTACCTTTATCTCTTAGAATTTTAATTAGCCCCAAACTAGTAAGGGTACAGATTCAGGACAAATTTAACTTTATGGAAAACCTACCACATTGTCCTTATTTCTAAAATTTTTCATGAGCCTGGTGAAAACTTTGTCACGAATATGCTCAGGTTACTAGATGGTTCATTTGAGTTGCTTTTGGAGATTACATGGTGAAACACGGTAGAAAGAACATGGTATGTAATTAAAAGATTGAATAAGATTGGGGGAGCACTCACAAGGGAAAAATGAGCTGGCCTTGAATATTCCTTTAAAGGAACAAGACTACTCAAAGAGAGTGACCCCTGTCCTGAACCCCTGATGCAAACACAAACTCCAATACTCAGAACTCACCGGCTGCCATGGCGCAGGGTACCAGGCCGGGGGACAGTTGAAGCGGTTACAAGCTTGCACGGTGTTGGGCTTGTGCTGGCGACACAGGTCATCAGCCAGGATGACTGTTTCATTCATCTCTCTGGAACGTATCTGGGAGCAGAAGACGTCTCTGGTCTGCAGGCCAACCCCACAGGTGAGGCTGCATGGACTCCACTTGCCGATTTCCCACCTGGGAAGAAATCAGAGAAGAGGACACCTTGAGCACCTGTGCAGAGAACATTGCCCATGATGTGAAATGTTGTTACTGGAGTAAAAACAGCTACCTGGGAATGTGGGAAGTTCCCGCACAAAGATTGGCTAGGAATTCTACCCCCCTCCTCAAATCCACCCTTTCCCTTTATGCTCTAGCCTTTATTCACTTCGACTAAAGCAAAGGAGGTGATAAAATGGAACATTCAATTTCACCCACAAAGTCATCAAAAATGATCTCAATCATGTTTATTTTGATGGAACATGAACTTCATCAAAATAAGGAGGGTGTGCTAGGTCAGACGTAAAGGCTTTGGGCACCACGTATTGAAGAGCGGGCCTAGAAGAAGCCTTTATGTTCATCTCTCCAGCCCCCATTCTTAGCAACACTGAAAAAATTGTGCTTGTTTTTCTTTGGCTTCAAAGTGAAAGGTCGTTGGCTCCAACTTCCTTCAAACTTCCATCACAGAATAGAAATGGCTCTGTCCTATGTATAAATCTCATCGCTGCCTGGGACTGGAGAATGTAACAAAAGTGAAGGTTGCTAAGTAAATCAGTCTTCTTGAGGGAAAATAACTGGAGAGAACTCCTCATTATCTGGAGGTGGAAGTCAAATAACCACAGATGAGTCGAGTGCATAAATGGGCCATTCCAAATGGCCACGTCTCAAGAAGCACATTTATAGCGAGCCAAGGACCTATAAACATATTCCCACTGCATTTCCCTGCTGTTGCAGCCTCCAAAATGGGAACGATAAGGATAAAGCTCAGTTGCTTGGGCTCTGAGTCAGAAGCGCTCTTTAACGATCAGTTTTAGAAAGCTCTGTTTACAATGTGAGGCAGAGAGATACTGCAATAGGACTTGGCCAAGAAAAGCATCGCAAGGATGTCCTTCAGTAGCTAGGCTCCCTACCTTCCATAGCCAGCCCTAAAAATTGGTTTAAATTCTTTAGCCTTAATATTTTTTTTGTCAGACTGTAAAACTGAGTGTATACTCAATCTCTTCTTGATACTCTGATATGTAACTACTTTTCCAATTCCTATTTCCACGACCTCCTTCCATCGACTCTATGTTTAAGCTCTATCTGTAGTAAATTACTTTCTTATTCTCAATTCATGCCCCCCTCCCCCCACCCCCTGGTATTTTCTAGCTTTGTGTTTACTCAAATTATTGCTCCTAATTTGGAATACTTTCCTTATCCCTCAAAATTTATTCCATTTCTATATATCCAAATTTGATCCACATTTAAAGGATTATACCTGCGGCAGACACATATCGTTTTCTCAACTGTATTATAGTTATTCGGCCTGTTAAGAGCGCTATGGGAGTATTTGCCTCTTAAAAGCAAGGTCTATGTCTGAGTCAGTTTCGTATCTCATAGAACCTTCTAGATAATTAATGTATATTGTTCATCGTTTCCTGATAAATTAGCCAATGGAAGGGATCGACCATCATAGTGGGCACTTTACGCATGTCATGTCATTAATTACCTCCATGACAACATGAGACAAGCTCTACTGGTTTTCCTCGTTTTACAGTTGGCCAAGAGGCAGACTTGCCTAAACGTGGGTGTGCCTGGCTCCAAAGCCTTTGTGCTTTCTATTGTACCATCTATCTCCAGAAAATACCTTGGAAATTGTCCAGTCAACATTCACTAAATTTTAAATACATAGAAGAGGAGAAGCTGGGTTGAATGTATTTCTTTTAGCTCCTGTATGAATTTCTATAAACTTATTTTTGAGTCCCTAGCTTGGGTGAATCCCACGCTTTAATATGTTGTGGGGTTATTGGTTTTAAAATACATACACACATTCTTTGTCACTCCTCCCTTCTAAAGATGGAGTCTTGAGTGAGGGCTGAAATCAGTGACTCAATTGTCATGAAGAGAATGAGGCAGAGTGATGCTTTGTAACTTCCAAAATGAAATCATAAAAGGTTTAATACAGCATTGCCAACTATACTTACAATGTTGTACAGCAGATCTCTAGAGCTTATTCATCTTGTACAACTGAAACTCTATGCCCATTGCTTGGTAACTCCCCATTTCCTGCTCCCCCGAGCCTATGGCAACCACCATTCCACTCTTTGAGTCTATCAATTTGACTATTTTAGATACCGCATATAAGTGGAATTATGGAGTACTTATCCTTCTGTGCCTGGCTTATTTCACTTAGCATAATGTCCTTAAGATTTTTTTATGTCCCATGTTGCAAATTTACTTTGTGTTTAAGGCTGAATAGTATTCCATTCTATGTAGAGAGCAAATTTCCTTTATCCATCCGTCTATGGGCATTTATGTTGCTTCCACATCTTTCCTATTGTGAATAGTGAGTGTACAGTGGACATGGGAGTGCTCATATCTCTTCAAGGTCCTGATGTTTTTGGATAAATCCAGAAGTGGGATTGCTGAATAATATGGGAGCTCTATTTTTAATTTTCTGAGGAACCACCTGAGAAATTGTACTGTTTTTCATAGTGGCTGCACCATTTTGCATTCCCAACAATGGTGTGTAAGAGTTCCATTTTCTCCACACCCTCACAAATATCACACTTGTGATATTTCATGGAATCTTAAAAAATAATAGCCATCTTGACAAGTTTGAGTTGATATCTCATTGTGGTTTTGATTTGTATTTCCCTGATGAGTAGTGGCATTGAGCAATATTCCTATATCTGCTGGCCATTTGTTTGTCTTTTTTTTTTTCTAAATTTTTTTTTATTAGTTAAGGTATTACAAATGTGTCCTCATCCCCCCCTTAATCCCCACATTTGTTTGTCTTGTTCGAAGAAATGTCTATTCAAGTCTTTAGCCCCTTTTAATATTGGATTAATTGTTGTATTGTTGTTGTTTTTTTGCTATTGAGTTGTAGGAATTCTTTATATATTTTAGAGATTAACTCCTTATCAGATAGATGATTTGCTTTTTCATTCTGTTGTTTCCTTTATTGTGCTCAGGTATTGTGTACCTGTAATCCATTACCTTGATGAGAGCATGGCGGTATGGCTATTCTGTTTTACCACTTGTTATGGGTTGATATGAATCCCCCATCTGAATCCTAACCCCCAGTCCTTCAGAATGTGAACTTATTAGGAAGCAGGGTCATTGCAGATGCAATCACTTGAGATGAGGTCATACTAGAGTAGGGTGGGCCCTTAATCCAACATGACTGTGGTCCTCATAAGAGGTGAGGGAAGAATGCCATGTAATGACAGACAGAGATCGCAGTGATGCATCTATAAGCACAGGAATGTCGAGGATTTCCAGCAAACACTGGAAGCTACATGAGGCAAGGAACGATTCTCCCTCACAGGTTTCAGAGGGAGTGTGGCCCTGCTGACACTTTGATTTTGAGCATGACTTTTGCCTGCAGAACTATAAGAGAATAAATCTCTGTTGTTTTAAACCACCCTGTGTGTGGTACTTTGTTTCAGCAGCCCTTGGAAACCAACACACCCCTGTAACCCCAGGGCCTAGCATGGTGCCTGGAACACAGCAGGGGCTCAGTAAGTACGAGGTGAGTGGAGCCCCAGTCAACTGTGTGGGTACCTTCGGTTAGTCACTCAGCTGGTCAACCATCTCAACTGTGTCCACTAAAGAACTGCCACCACCAATTTCAAAGACCCCAAAGCTCTGAACACCATAGAGTTTTCTTTAGTGTGGTACAAACTATTGGTGACAGCACTGGACCTGAATTGACGTAATGCTTTTATAGGTCACATCCTGATTGGTGTAAATATTAACTTATTTTACTACAACAGTATTAGCCTGGTGGATTATGCTCCCCCCTCCCGACCCCCCCAGAACTTTCTAGGGGTGTTACACATTTTGTGTCTTAGTAATCCTAACATATTTCTAAAAATACAAAAAGTTCTGAATTCCAAACACGCGAGCCACAATGATTTTGGCTAAAGGACCATGGCCCTATATAAAAAGGATGGTAAACACGGTCACTGTGGTTTCTTTCAGCGTTTAGGCTTCAGGTTGGGCCTTAGGGAGACTCTGGTTCCCTCAGAGTTCTCTTTCTCTAAGGCTTTCTTTCCTCTCTGCCCTTCGCTACACTCCTGTCCCTTTTGTCAAAACCTGCTTTCAAGGAAGGTTCTGAGAGCTGGCAGGTCAGAGCTAATGCTCTGTAGCTTCGGGCTGGACCCTGCCCAGGTTCTGAGTGATTGACACCTGATAACAGGCAGGCAGGAGACAGAAGGCTGCCTCCCCGCCCCCAGGCTAGAATTAGTCTTCCTGCCCTCTGCCCAGCATCACCCATACTTGAGTTGGCCTGTCTCTAAAACTGGATTTTAGGTTTTAGCCTTGGTTTCTCAATTCCCTGATGGTGCTGGAGTTCTGCCCAAAGCCCAGCTTTTTAGATTGTCGTTCTGTCATTCTGTCTAGATCTGGCCAGCCCCTGGCCTTGGGCTGGGCAGAGACCCTTAGCCATGAGCCATAAGCCATAATGTGACAGCAACCTAGCTAATACATACATTATTGCTAATGACAATAGTGATTCTAACCTTTACACAGAACTTATTCTGAGCCAGACACTTTCTAGTTGCTTTACGTCTATTGTCTTCTGTAATCCTCTCCATACCCCTGTGAGATAGATACTAATATTATTTGTATTTTAACAACAAGGAGCTGAGGCCTGGAGAAGTTAAATGATTAATTAGTCATGGCCCGCAATGCCTCTTGCCAACACTCACAGATGTCAATACCACTTGCATTACATCCAAGTCTACCAAGACTTGGACACATGGGGCTGAGACTGGGGCTGCTCCCTATCCCAGAGGCCAGCACTGTGGATGTATCAGCCCCAGCTCCACACCCCAGAATTATAGCAGGACTCAAGGTTAAGGTCACCCAAGACGTGGGATACATATTTGCATCAACCCTATGAAGAAGGTACTACAAGTTCCCCCGGGTAACATTATGAAGGCTCTCAGAAGTAATTTGTCCAAATCACACAGCTAGTAAACAAGAGAATCAGG